AAGAAGAAGAAGAAGAAGAAGAAGAAGAAGAAGAAGAAGAAGAAGAAGAAGAAGAAGAAGAAGAAGAAGAAGAAGAAGAAGAAGAAGAAGAAAGGCAGGAGGTGCGTAATGTGTGCAGGCGCCCTCTGCATCGCTCCTTTTCATCCATTCAGCCCAGCCAGCGCCAGTTCCATGTGCAGAACATGAGTAGAATGAGCTGCAGTGCAGCCATAAGGAGCACGAGGGTAGAAGGACTTGCACACCCATAAACAATTGCAGTACAAGGGCTGGAGAGATGGCTCAGCGGACTAAGTGCCTGCTTAGGCAAGCGCAGGGACCAGGGTTCGATTCCCGGTCCAGCATGCTGTGCCAGCCCCGCCCCCAGGCCCACTAAGCCGGCCACCTAGACTGAGTGTGGTGGCATGCATCTGTAATCCCAGTGTGGGGGAGGCTGAAGACAGGAGGATCACTACGAGTCCAGTCTGCGTAGTGAGACCCTCTACCAAACGCATTTTTTTTTAAATTACAGTAGTCTTCCCAGTGGTATATCAAGGGATGCACCGACACTTGGGGGCACCGGGAGAAACATGACCACAGCTTTGGGGAAGCTGGGACACCTTCTGAAGCACTGCAATGGCCAAGTTCAATCCTGCGAGGAGCTGGAGGAAAGCGGTAAGGGCAGGAAAAGGACGAGCACGCAAATCAAAGGTGCAAAAGTATATACAAGGGGCAATGAAAAGAAAGAGTGAACATTGAAAATATTTTTTGGTTGACTACAGTAAAAGATCTACTGAACAAGCTTCACTCAGAATACACCGACACGCTTATTCTACTTGGCTCGCCCCTTTCTGGGCAGTCCTGGAAGCCCTCTTGTGTAGTGTCTTTTGTTGCATTACTGTGGCTGGCCTCGAAGTCTGAATGAATTTGAATCCTTCGAAAACATGTACTTTCAATGCCATTTCGCCTCTGGGGAGCCACTTGAATAGCTGTACCCATTGTTCGTGGCACTGTGTCACCCTCCTTACTGCAGAGTCGTTTTTTATTTAAACATTCATCGTATCTGTTGATCATCCCTTGCATTACGGAAGCAGGAAATGGTGCGACACAGTCACCGTGGACGGGAGGGGACGGGAACGGGACCAGAAGGGCCTTAGGCTCCCATCATCAAAGGCCTTGGGGCCGTGAGGAAGAAGCTGGATTTCCTCGTGGCGCCTGGGGGCCGAGCAGGGAGGTAACTTGCTCAGTTTCGCCCCTTGAGAAGATCTCTCCCGCCTCGGTGTGGGCGGGAAGAGGACACGCCTGGAAGCAGGGAGCTTGGAGCCATGACCCAGAAGCCTCGCCATGACAAGCTGAACTGGACAGTACTTTAGGGGCTGGAGTAATGTGGGAGTCGAGGAAGGCAGAGCCTCCAGGTTTTGCTGGCTATGGATGCGATGTTAGCCAGAGGAAGGGCCTCGCTCTGAGGTGGACCCCTCAGGATGGTGGGAAGGAGCCCCTGGACAGCTCAGCGGCAGAGCCCTAGCTCCACGCCTCTCCACCCACTTCTCTTCCTTAAGGAGGTCCATGATGCTATTTCGGAGGAGAGGGTCCTCCCCAACACCCAGTAGTGTCCTGCGGGGGATTAACAATCGGCCAACCTGGAACACTCAGCTGGACCGAGTCAGCATGGCTCTGGGTGAGGAAGGCCCGCCTGCAGATTGTCGCCAAGAATGCAAAGGCAGAACTGGCCAGGGAGGTGGTATGCTCCGCTGTTCTCACTATCAGAAGAGCTTGGGACTTCACTGTTGCTGAGGATCACTGTGGTTCCTTTCAGGGGAACTCTGGTCCTTACTTTGCGTACAACTTCCAGGCTCCGGCGCAGTACCTCCAGCCTCCTGGCACAGATCCTTCCTTCAGCCTGCTGGTGCAGACTTCCTAACTTCCGCCCCTGCCCTTCAGGCCTTCCCAGTGGGGATCCCTGATACAGACTTGCACACGACGTAGCTGAGGGCTCCAGGTCTCCAGCTGGACTCGTGCAAGACATTGCCACGGGCTCCACGTCTTCAGCTGGGCTCGTGAAGGACACTGCCATGAGCTCCAGGCCCTCAGCTGGATTCTCTGGGTCTCTAGTGCATGGACAGATCTGCGCCACTCTTCTGCATGTGATTCTCTGGGTGAATACTATAAAATAATCCTATAAGTTACATGTCCAATATTCAATCAATGCCTTTGCAACCTTGAGTACAGCATCTCCATAAGCTTTCCACCGAGAAGCCAGCACTGCGTCCTCCACCACACTGGTGTACCACCTCCTCGTGGACTCTCACCCCGCTGAGTGAGCCAGCAGCTCTTTCCACCATGTGGCACTTGATTCTTCTCATGCCTTGATGTCATAAGGGCTACAAATTGGTCTATTCATTGATGAATGCGCAGTACCTACATCAACGCGAGGCACCCAGGAGATGCGCAATTGACGTTTACTGAATGAGCCAGCGAGATCCTAAGGGAAGCAACCTTCGTGGTGGAATTCGGAGGAGTCGCTACCTCTCCCCAAGCATCCGGGAGACACGTCCGTGAGCAGCGGAACAGCCAGCTGCTCTGCATCAGGGCCCCTTGGTACAGACTGGCCTCTTGGGAGATCCGCCCTGTGCCTCGCTCCTGCTGTGGCTGTGGCTTTGTCCTGCGGGCTCCAGGCTCAGTTCCTAGAGACTCATTCTACCCACAGCAGAAACGACCTAAGTAGGAGAGCCTGAGACTGAACCGGGGCGGGCACAGCTTGGGTTCTCTCCAGAGAGAGAACAGGCCGTGAGGGCTGTGCGAGGACCAGGAGAAAGCCCAGTGAGCCGCGTGTACACACCTAGGATGGCTAAAAGCAGAGCCTGAGAGCATCAGGAGTGAGCAAGGACATGGAGCAACTGAAACACTTAGACCTTTCGGGTTGCATGTGAGCGGCACCGTAATTATTTTACAAAGTACTCGGTATCTTATTACACAGTTAAACATTCATTCATCATGTCCTGAGCCATCCAAATCCCAGGTGTTCGTCCAAAACAAATGAAACCAAGTATAAGATGCCCACTTAAATTTGAATTGTTAATAAATCATGACAAAAAAAAACAAAAAACAAATGAAACCATGTGTTCACTCTAAAACTTGTGCCCGAATGTTCATACCAGCTTTACTGATAAAAGCGAATTTGAAAAGAACAGTTAATGCTTAAATTTGAGGGGGGTTTCCTTTTTGTTACTTGACCAATTTTGCATGCTTATATTTGATAATCTGAACAATTAATTTGAAGACAAAAATATATACTACAACTGCCAGTGTTGAATTCCTATCACCTTGTTTAGTGAAATTTGGTATTGTTCCTAATGGGGGGTGGCTGTTTTTTATTGTCTTTTTAAAAAATAAAAAATATATTTTAAGAGATACCAAAAAAGCAGACTATCATTACATGAAAAAAGCCAAAAACTCGAAACAGTAGGGTCAATGAGTTTTAATGTGGATTCTCCATACACTGTGTAATTCAATGAAAAGGAATGAACTGTTCACAGCTTGCAACAACAGGAATGAACACCAAAACCGTCACACCAAGTGGAAAAAGGAGTTTGTGCCGTTCAAGTTCTTTGACATGAAAGTCGAGAAATGACAGCGGGTCTGGTGACACCAAGGGTGGCTTGGACATTGCGCAGGGCTTGGGCTGACTGGAAGAGGGGACAGAGCTTGGCATTGATAAAAGTTTTATGTATCCAGCGCCGCGGCGTGCATGAAGCCGCTAACCATCATCGAGCTGGGCCCTGAGGGAGCGTTTTATTAAGTTTAAAGTGGATCTCAGCAAAGTTGACTTATAAAAATGGTATGCAGCATTTCTAGAAAGCGGAAAAAAGGTAAAAGCAGCATAATCTCAGATTTATTTGTAAAATGTACTCACAACAGAGTCTGGAAAGACATAGATGAGCATAGAGTCTGCCAAAAAAAAAAAAAAAAGAGTAAGACTACTATTTTCTAAAATATAAAAGAAAAATAAATATTTCAGCATTAAATTTGTTGAGACATGGTGAGATCAATACAAGTCCTCTTGCCTCTGCACCTCCAAGAGGTGCCCCAAGTGGCAGCCACGGGCTTCCAGACGCGTACTAGCACAGGGACCTATGGGGGGTAGCCGGTCGCTGGACCACTGCCCTCGCACTTGCAGCTCCTTCTCCGAGAGCCGGCGGTGTCGCGGGCTTTCCGCACTATGCAATGTCCTCTCGAGCAGCCTTACGTGAGTAACACTGTCTGTTGAAAACACCCCGGACTACTTTTCTTTTCCTGAAGTGTGTGGTGCACGTCGGTTTTTCTGGCAGACTGTATATCTGAGCACCTGGCAGGCTATTGTTTCTCCTTTACATCCTTCATCTTTCTAGAATCATTGCTCTGCTTACAAACAGAAAAAAATTTCTGCTTATCTATTTGGCAAAAGAGACATTGCTCTGTTGGAAAAATGGGAAACAGTGCTCTTCTGGGCTGAAGAGAAGAAATAGCTTTATTCCTAAGTAGCTGAAGATCACTTTGAGCAAGGAGTTGAAGCAACTCTCCCTTGAATTTTAAATTCCTGCCTGGGTTCCTGCGCCCGCATCAGGGCCCCGTCTGCCAGATGGGCACTCACCCACTCCCGCCAGCAACTGGCTCTAGGAACTCTGGCCCAGAGAAGCCGAGGTTAAGCACCAGCCTGGAGGAGCAGAGGGCTAAGAGCTCAGTCAGACCCTGCACCTATTCACAGCCTTGCCACGAGAAATCCTTCCCTTCAGAACCACGCTAGTGTGACCATGGCCTCCTCCCTGCCTTCCTAGAAGGCTCCAGTGCCCCGCATCCCATACAGGGCACAGGGAAGCCAGGCCGCAGCATCATGGCTCAGCCTGGTCAATGCCAGCACTTACCTTGAAGCTTTGAAAAATAGAGGTCCCAGGGTCCTTTAGGCCCTGGAGCAGTCAGATATGGGTCTAATGTGGAAGCCCAAGGATCGGTGCTCATGAAAGCCTCCCTGTGAATGCCACGCAGCATGGGGAAACATTTGTCTGCATCTGGGAGCCTCCAATTACAATGCAAAGAGCTACCCTTGATGCAGGCAGAAAGCGCAGGTGCGTAGGCCTTACCTCGGTGGGTTCTGCATCTGGAGGCCTCCGAGGGGCGCAGTCTCTCCAGCTTTAGTCCCCAGGTCATTCACATGCAGCTGACCCAAAACCATGCTGCAAATACCCTGCTAAGCTTTCCTAACTGTGGCCAGAAGGAGGTGAAGGAAGAGGCAGGAGGACTGATTGGGTTATGCCAGCAGGCTCGAATTTATTAAAAGGATAAAAGAGTTATTTTGTTTCTCTGAGGTTTTTAGAGGCTTTTTGTGCAAAGGTAGAAGAAGGCTGGCGGGAAGATCAGTCCCAAGGGCACCTTGGATAAGAAGACAGGCGAGTTCGGTCTCCGCAACTCCCCCTTGGGGCTGGGGGGTCACTTCTTTGGGACCCAGCTCTCCTTCCTTGCTAGCCAATGGCTCTTGCTCGTGTGCCTCAAAACACCAGGGCAGGCATTGGAGAAGCCCTCGCTGCTCAGCACCAAAGAGGCGGGCCACTGTCTCGGGTGTGTGGAAGGTTCTGCAGGTGAAGGGGTCCCCATCTGGATCCCAGCGAGGCAGCCACGACGCTGCCTCAGGGGTGCAGGGCGAGGTCTTCACTTGGTGTCGCACACAGCTGTGGGCTGGCAGCACACAGGGCCGCAGCAGCCGGAGCTGGAGCCACAGCAGCTGGAGCCACAGCAGCCGGAGCCGCAGCCGGAGCCGCAGCCCCCGCAGCCCCCGCAGCCCCCGCAGCCCCCGCAGCCCGATCCACAGCAGGACGATCCGCAGCCCGAGCCCCCACAGCCGGAGCCCCCGCAGCCGCAGCACGAGCTGCAGCAGGACCCACAGCAGCCGCAGCACGGCTGGCAGCAGCACTCTTCACAGCATTCCTGCTCCTGGCAGCAGTTGAAGCAGTCGCCCGGGCAGCACCCCATGGTCCCAGCCGGTCAGCGTCCAGGTCCGACGGTCCCCCAGGTGTGGCGGTGGCCAGCCGGGCAGCAGCTTTTATATCCCCTCATCCGGGTGCAGGCACAAGACACAGGTGTCTGCTTTGTTATTATTTACTTAGGTTCCACACGAACATCTCATTACCGGGCTGTTTATTTTCCAGCTCCTCGGAACTCAACTCATAAAAAAGCACAACTCGTCCCAGCTGCTATTTGTCCGGAGGGTAAAAATACACCTGGGAGGACACCGGTCATTAGCCCCACTGGAAGAGGGAAGAAGGGGAAGCCAGCAGGGCTTGGGCTCCCCTTCAGCACCCCCTCTCGGGGAGCAGGCCGCCCCAGCCCGGGCAGCGTGCACCCCGTTGCCGGGAGGCCGGGGTCTGCAGACAGCAGGTAGGAGCCAGGCGCCCACTCCTCGGGCTGCAGGTCTGCCCGGCTCCTCCTCGGGGCAGCGCGCCTCCCAGCCCACGTGGGCCGCTCGCATCTGTGCCTGGCTGGTATGCGGAGTTTGGGCTTGGTCAGCCGCGGGCGTCAGCGTGAGTAATGACTGACTTGAGAAACCGAGAAAGACTCGTCGTAAAGCTGCGAAGGCTGTGGAGCCACATTCCCTCGGGCACTGGCGGCGGGCGAAGTGTGCACTCCACGCACCTGGGAGCAGCGCTGTGGCGACCACCCCGGCAGGGCTGCAGGCCTCTCTGTGATGGAAGGAGGGAAAACAGTGCAAGGAGAGGGAGACAGGCAGGAGGGAGGAAAGGAAGGGTGAGACAGGCAGGAGGGA